CCCCCCCCCCCCCCGCGGGGGCGGGGGCGCCCAGCTTTTTCAGGTGGAGAAAAAATGCAGGCTGCAAAAACGAAAAGGACACAGATTTTTTTGTTATATTAACTTAAATCAATATTTATTCTTATTCTTAAGAAAGCGAAAGAAAAAATCCATAGTAAGCCGATGTTATGTTATATTCCTACTTTTTCAGAATATAGATAAATAGCGTTCTCTTTCCTGTTTCTTTCTCCGATTTTGCTGAGTGAAAGAAATCGGATATTAGTTTATGTACAAAATACAAAATGAATTTTCATTTTTTATTAGTGGTTACACAATCTAACACAATTTAAAACGAAACTGTGTTCTTTCTGCTTATAAATATCAGTTACACACATATGTATTTATATATCCGTTTTCAAATCAAATAATCAATTTTATCGCATTCTGAAGATTTTTTTCTTTTCAACGAAAGCATAATACAAAGATACGCTAGCAAATTTTCTGATTTTTCTCACAAGTTAGCTAATTAAAATAACGTTGATTAAAAAAGGCATTCTTTCTCCGAATTTTAACGAATGTAGAGTAGTCGACTCGGACTTTAAGATAGACTATTTTTCCGAAAAGAATACCGCCTGGTTTTTGAGATATCTAATTCACAATAAGATTGTTTAAAAAAAGAAAACAGTTTTTTTCATATCAAAGAAAAACTAAATGTTAATGATCAGGTTCCGGAAGAAGTTTGTTCCACTAAAGATGACTTTCCGGCTTTCTCTTCTGGCCGTGGTAAGTAAGTCTTTGAAGTCAACTATTCATTGTTAGAGCTAAATGAAAAAGTTAAGCGCATCGACGTCTACGCGTAGACTTATTTTTGACGGTTTCCTTTATAATATAGTTTAGATCTAGTGTCTGCACATGAAACAGAAGCTTTCTACATCCTTATTATCAATTATCATACACATTAAAGGATAATTCTCAGCACCAATGAGTCTAGTTGCGGATACAGATATACATATATATACTTATAATAGATCTGTATACATACTGATGCATTCACACTATCTACCCTAATTACTCTTTCCCATGGTATGATTGTTTGAACTGGCTGCTAATGAAAATGCAGTCATTCATTGTGATATATAATTCTTTCATGAATTATATTCTTTCTTAATAATCATTTAGTCAACTGAACAAGAAACAGAAAATATGCGAAGAAGAATATGTAAGTAAAAACTTAAAAACCTTGCAAAGAAGCATTCTGATCGATTGACTTGATTAGAAATACTGTTTCTACCTGGATATATGGTGAAGGCAACGGTGAATTTTAAAATTTTCATAACATTTTTTCTAAAAACTAGAGCTTTCGAGCAAAAAAAAACTAATGACAAAATCTCGCATGTGAGCATTTTCTTTCTGATTGATTATAATTTGTATCAAAACAAAATATCAATCAAGGTATTGTGGTGTGATTAATATGTTTACGAGTTGAGATTAAAAGTGAAAAAATGTAAAATAAAAGCCAATTTATTTCTCTTGTAATGAACTTAACGAGAGTGAGAAAGCTAAGCGAAAAAAGTTAAAATTGAAAATAACAGAGCAAAACAGACTAAAACAAGAATGTACGTGAGTTTTCTGTCATTCATTGACACCGACGTGGAACGTTTTTTTCAAATTCTCCCAAATAATTCCCGGGTGGTGCATAATTGGCAACCACATACAATTTCTTCCAACCACCATTGTTTCCAATAGCAGCACCAATACCTAAACGATTCGACGCACGCCATACGACTTGTGTAAAATGCCCGGTAGCCATTGAAAAACCCGGTCGACCATAATTATATGATGAAATTTCATCATACCATGCTTTGACAGCATCAGCGCCATTTTGAATTAACTCACCTGTTGTACTTATCATCCACAAATTTTCTCCCATACCTTGATGATTACTATGTTGAAAAACATTATTTTGTGCCAAATATTGTGCATATTGTTGCGCTTTATTATTCAAATTTGAATCCAGTGTCATTACCGGGACACAATGTTTCCGACGGTATTGATTATGTGCATCCAATGCTTGCTGACGAAATGAATTTAAATCACGTTTTCCTTGAACAAAGAAACAACAAAACAAAAATTATCTCTCTTCTGATAGCATCATTCAGTTTACCTATTGAACGTTCTTTCATCATGTTCTCACTACTCTCATCCCAACCCAATCCCCGTATTTGCGGTAACCCAGATAAACTCAGAATTTCTTGTCCGCCATTCTCTGAATTGCTATCATCCTCATTTTCAGATGATGATGGTAAATCTGACTGATCAAGATTTCGTTTCAACCATTTTAATTGTTGTTCTAATCGACTGGCATTGATAAGACTTGAACAAACCAACATTAACAATACGACAACACTGATACTATTCATTCTAAAATAATAAATCATGAAAATTTTTAGTCATAACAAATAATAACTTAAGATACTTACTTTTACTTTTTTTACTTCAGTAATGTGTATACTGGAATGTGTATGTGGAAATTGAGATATTTTATAAAGAGGTTTAGCTTGACTATGAACCTTCAACCGCTTGACTGTTTGAAATCGATTTCATGCTTGTATATGTATACTTTTTTTTCTCTTTAAGATTGTTATTGTTGATCGTGATACCATATTATATTTCAAGTTTTACTAATCGCTATACTTATGTTATTATTCACTTTTTTTCCCTTTACTGAAAGTTCAAGATGACATGAAATAAACGTGTGCGTCTGCGTAACATAAACACGGAATAACTATTAAAGTGTGAGGATTTAATGATCCCCCTCAGAAATTATCTACGACACCGTACATCCGATCTTAACGAAACTTTTCATAAATATTAGGTTTAATGGGTTACAAGAATAAAAATTTTTTTTTGTCTCCAAATCTTACAGTTTAGAAGTCTTCCAGAGATCAAGGTCCAAAAAGGACTCTGAAGTTTTTTCCAAGATTTTTTAATATACTTCAAGCTGGAGAGTCCGGGTTTATTTTATTTTAAACTAGATACCTAACTATAATTATTGACTGGCGCTGATTTTTCAATTAATCCTTTGTTGGTTTTCCAAGCAACCAACAACCTCCAAAACCCGAAAAAGCCTTCCGAGTTTTCTAAAAATCCTTAGTTTGACAAAAAACTAAGACCTAATTCAAAAATCGTCGCGGTCAGTCCATCTAGTTTCTCTTGCTCGTTTAAACAAAACACGAACCAAACACGAATAAACTCTCTACGACAAATTGCTATTGAAAACCTTAGGAAATACTTCTGGTGTAACTTTTATATAGAGAAAACGTGTATTAGACGCTGTATAAAATACTCAGTTTTAGGACTTGTAGGAATATCCTTGTAACATCTTGATGCAAAGTCATACAGAGTTGTGCGAGATCTTATTTTGATCAGAAAAGTTTGCTCTACAAATATACGCACGTAGAAAAGATTTAATTGCATAAGTATCCAGGAAAAAACTATTATTTGAAGATCCTACAAAGTCCTACAAGTACAAAAAGCCATAGAACATTTTTCAAAAAATTTTGCTCCAGAGTAGTCTTCTATTGTGGGGGTGGGGGAGGCCGGTTAATCAACGGCGAGAAATCGAACATGAGCTTTTTAGAAAATATAACATATAGGATATATTTTGATTTAGCATGATGATGAGACATAGCAATTGTGACGGGATAACCGTGATTTTGATCTGTTCTCATGTTCGGCTCAGCAACATGTATACCTATCCTCTTTGGTTTTTGCGATTAAAACGCGCCAATCTTTAAAGGAGAAAGATAAAAAGGATCGGTAAACCCTTCAAACACACGCGCTTTATGGATAATTCCTATTTTAAATAAAAACGTTCGACACATCGAAACTATTTGGAAAGACGAAAGAGCAATTTTTTTCTAATTAAATAAAATTAAAAGGAAGAAGATCTCACACTTCTCGTCAATTCAATACCAGCTTATGTAGTCTTGATTAAAGTTTTATTAATTTGAATGTTGAATGAGAATATGAAATTTTTCTAAAAGTGATTTAATTATACTTTAGTTCCATTCTCAATTTTTGTCGATTTTAAAAATAAATTCTAATCATATTTAAACGATTCTGTTCTAAAACCTTCCGTTGATGTAAGATTAACATAGAATAATAATGTATGATCAATATATGCTAGAACTCTCATTATATTGACATCCTTATTGACATCGTTCTTTGTTATTGAAAAATATAATTTATCAACACCGAATGGTAGAGTGAGAATTAGTGATTATAGTACAACAATAACAACTATTCATGTTAAATGATTATCTCGCCTTATTCAAGTTGCTTTTTTCTAATACTCTTCAAATTTCGAGTTGTTAATAAACTAAAAACCAATGGAATTCTGTTAAAAATGATGATAGTCTAATTCAAGAAAAGCTTAGAGAATATAAAGCTAAGAACATGAAAGGCGGATTATTGAATTTTTGGGCAGACAATATTAAACCACCAGCATCTCCAAGAAACAATACATCTGCTGAACAAACGTCCATTTCTCCGTCGTCTCCGAAACCATCTTCCGATGTTGTTACTTCCTCATCTTCGTCATCCACATCGGCAGTCAGTCCAGAAAAACAACAAGAAACACTCGGAAAAAACATTCATCAACTAAAACAGGATCAACAGCGTTTAAGAAATAATCGTTCTGCATTAAAATCTGCTTTAAACAAAATTGTGGAAGATCATCCAGACGTTGCTCAAACTGTGAAACGATTTCGTCGAGATGAACCACATAGACCTCCGTTACAAGCTGATCAAACGGCATTACATCAAACGATATTGGAAATAACAACACCGCATGCGTCAGCCGATGATCGTCGACGAACAGAAACATTATGTATCTTAAAACATTAGATGATCTTTGTAATGAATTAGATAAACGTGGATTTCAACTCAGTCGTTCAGCTACTTACTTACGCTTGTTACCCAGAAGATCAAATACGTTTGAAGGTTAGTACTTTAAATGCTGAAGGTAACCTGTTCTTTTCAACACAATTATTTTAACCTGCCGCTTTTGATTTTAGGAAAAAGACACGTTCACACTGTGCCAGTGAAATTAGTTCGAGCACAAAACACAGGACAAAACATTAGCGCAAAATCGACTTTTTATACGGGGAACAGAATCGGTCCAAATTTTTTTTCTGAAGAGCTTATTATGTGAATCGACGGGCAGCAAAGTATCTCTTGATTCAAATCACTTTTCGCATTTTG